CGCTCAGCCAGTGAGCGGGAACCGGTCTGTACATGGGATCCGAACCCTCGGCGGGAGCGCCTCCGCACTCCCAAGTGGCACACTCTCCAGTGCGCCACCGGGCCGGCCCTATTCTGGATATTTATGAACACTTTTTTATAAATATGTTTTTTATAAGAAAAAATTTTAAAATCTATTCAATGAGAACTTGTTATGATTAAGGAGACAAGATTCAGAATATTATTAGAAACAGTAGCAGACAGTATAATTGTACCTAAGTTAGTGTTAAGTTCTAAATGCTAAGAAGTGCCTGCATATTAATAGCTATTTAATATGTGTCAGGGCCACTAATCTTAACAAAAACCCTATGAATAGTTTTTTTTTTTTAAAGATGACCGGTAAGGGGATCTTAACCCTTGACTTGGTGTTGTCAGCACCACGCTCACCCAGTGAGCCAACCGGCCATCCGTATATGGGATCCGAACCCGTGGCCTTGGTGTTATCAGCACCACACTCTCCCGAGTGAGCCACGGGCCGGCCCCTTATGAATAGTTTTACTCCTCTTATACAGGTGAGGAAACAGTCTCAGAGGGCTACAGAGTATTCTTGTCCTTGTGAATTAAAAGTTCATGTTAATCACTACAGTTTAATGCCACTCTATTGTTACAATTCATGTATTATAAAACATACACAGCTAAAAACACAAGGTTTTTTGGGGGGCTGACCCCATGGCTCACTCTGGTGAGTGTGGCGCTGAGTGCGCCGCAGCGCTGGTAGCGCTGAGGCCGCGGGTTCGGATCCTATATAGGGATGGCCGGTGCACTCACTGGCTGAGCGCGGTGCCAGCGACACCAAGCCAAGGGTTACGATCCCCTTACCAGTCACCCAAAAAAAAAAAAAAGGTTTTTGGTTAGAGTGCTGCCTTTTAACACCAAAGTGAAGGGTTCAGATCCCCATACCAGCCAGCCACCAAAAAAAGACCCCAAAAAACACAAGGTTTTCATGTTTGCTGCAGCAGAATTCACCTCCTGACTTACTTCTAACTCTATATAGGAATGATTGTTATTAGAGTGACACCTGTAAGAACAGGAGCCATGCCACTTTTCTGTCATCCTTTCCATAATCCTGTCTTGGTGATCCCTGGCCCTTTCACAGACACAATTCTGAAGCACCTTTGTGTGTTACTTTTTGGTTCTTCTTACTCTGTAGTCCTAGATTTGGGGAAAAAGAAATCCTAACCCCCCTTTCCATGCATATGTTACCTGGTATCCAGACAGTATCCAAATTTTATGCACTTTATGACTGATTTTTTTTTTTTTTTTTTACTTATTCTAAGCTTTATTCATTCAAATGAGTGTTGGCCTTAGGAGTAATTCCCTTTTTTCTTTTCTCTGGTACTGTCTCTTTCTCTTAGAGGAGTGTTTTTTTTTTTTTTTCTTTTTTTTCTTCAAAAGATGACCGGTAAGGGGATCTTAACCCTTGACTTGGTGTTGTCAGCACCACGCTCACCCAGTGAACAAACCGGCCATCCCTATATGGGATCCGAACCCGTGGCCTTGGTGTTATCAGCACCACACTCTCCTGAGTGAGCCACAGGCCGGCCCCTCTTAGAAAGGAGTTTTAATGTTGTCAGTTTTAGAGCTCTTCTCTTAAAATTAACAGTTTTTGATGGCCTTTGCCATGCAATGTTAAAGAGTATTTCACATGTAAAGTTTTAAAATAAGAATTATGATCTCTTGCATCTCTGTTGTAGAACTCGGGTGGCCTTGGAGCGAAGCAGGTAGGAAGGATCAGTTGGGGGCCATTAGGTGTAAGACAAGAGGGAAGAATCCATGTGTAGAGGGAGAGAGGTCCTATATGCCATATTCTAATGGATTTTAAGTAGGAGGGTCTTGTGCTCAAATTTACAATCGAGATAGATGTGGTTTTAGGTGTGGAGAATTGATTTAAGAGAAATGGGCCTTAATGAGGTGATAAGGCCCTAAACTAAGACAAGGGTAAAGGAGTAATGGGAATGAGTCTGGGGGGGAAAAAATGTTTAGGATTCAGTGTAGGTTCAAGGGATCCCTGGTCTTTTTTATTTACCATCAATTACCCAGTGCTTTAACACAATGCCTGGTATATAACATGAATATGGATACATGACATGGGCATTGGTTGAATCCAGTTGGTAGGAGGAAATATCTGAATGTAGTTTAATTTTGTGTTTATTATTTGTTCAATCTTAAGTCACACATACATTATTGACCTGTGTTACTGTGGTACCTGCAGGTCTTATTAAGACCTGTAAGAATTTTTGTCCCTGTCTTAAATGTTTCTAAACTGTTACATTCTTTATGTTTTGGGCTCTGTTTTTTATTTTTCCAATTTATTTGTCAGTGTTTGTCCCTATCATGTGGGGTTTTTTTGTATTCCTATGTTCTTAACTTTTTGCTTTCAAACATTGGACACTTGGAAGCAACCTGTAGAGTCAGATTTTATTTTAAAAAGGACAAAATACTTCTCTCTGAACCCTTTTTCTTTTAGCTGCCTAGAACTATCGTGGCTTCCTTGTCTTCTGCTTTTTCAGTTTCGGTGGATATCTGTTTGGGGGGTGGATAGTTGGATATCTGGAGCACGTTAGCTATAGAGAAGGAAACAAGATCAAATAACTACAGTATAGTAGAAATGAAGTACAGTATATTCCCTTCTTGTTATATTTGGTGGGGGAGTAGAGAAAGGAGTTTAGGAGCTGAAGTGGGGTAGTGATGGGGAGGTTGGCTATACAAGAGCACTTCAAAAAGTTCATGGAAAAATAGCATTAAAAGATAATATGAATCTTTCCATGAATTTTTTGAAATAACCCCTTGCATTTTATTTTCTAACTCCAGCAGGGTAAGACAAAGAAACAAAAGTCTGACATTCTTTGTTGGTCAGATTGACCAAAAGTGTCAGGAATAAATTACTGCCAGCTGATCAACAGTCAGTACAGTCTGTATATTTGATACCATAGTCTGCTATAGAGTGAACTTGGAGTTCCTAGGTAATGCAGCATGATTGAGCTAACAAGTAATGTCAGGAACTGGTTGAAATTCAGTTGGTCTAGGCCAGCAAGGCAGTGTTCCTGCAAATAATCATGAATAACCAGATTGTATTGGTATATACTTGAATAAAGACATTATGTTTATTAACAAGAAACATCAGGGCAGCCTACAAATACCAGCTTTTTGTTTACTCAAATAATGGAGTCTTTTCTTTTTTGCCAGCTGGCTGGTAACAGGGACCTGAACCCTCCACCTTTGTGTTATAATACCATGCTCTAACCAGCTGAGCTAACCGGCCAGCCTATCAGATTTACTTTAAATGTTCCAATTATAGGAGACTAAATCGATAAGTTTTTGCTTCCCATTCAGGCCGCCCCATTCTTTAATGCTTTCATCCACACTATGCCACTTCTCTCATTCTCATTCCCCCGTCGTCATTAGAGCGTCAGGCAAGTTACTTACCTCCAGACTCATCTGGAAAATGGTAAATGTTCATTAACTTTTTTTTTTGCCTTTCCACCACTTACCAAACTTTGAACTGATAAGGATGTCATATTCATATAGATTTGCAGAGTATAGATACTATATATGATTTAAAGAATTGAATTTTATTTACAGAGGTTCATATAATTTATTTTACGGCTTTTATAATTTGTTTTCCTAAGTTAACAAGCTGTGATGTTGACAGGTTTAGGGTGTCTAGATATCTTTTTAGGGTTAAAAAGATAAATGAACTGAGGTTTTTTTCCTTTTGTGCATTGTCTGCGGATAGAAGCAGCATACAGTTTAACAGTTTATTTTATCACCTATGTTGTAGTATGAATAAACAAATGAACAATGAAGCAGGGTAGAGAAAGAGCTCTATAACTGTCTAAGAGAATAGATGTTTCACAGAGGTAGTAACCTTTAAAATTAAAGTGGGATCTGCAGGTTCTTCTTTATCATTGAACAACCTAAGTAAGTGACAGTAAGTGAAAATTAAATTGTTTCTTTGTGAACTTAGTATTTATTGCCTTTACAGGTTAGCATCAAGGAGTCAAATAGGACAGGAGGTGTGCTACTGCTCAGTTGTAGGGAAAAGGAAAAGCTTAAGGCAAATGCTGGAGGCTCAAGAAGCGTGATGCTTTCAGATTTACAAGTAATGGGAATGGGAAACAGTAACATACCATGGAGAGCTAGGTAGGCCTCTTGAAGACCTTGATATACCATGGGTTTTTCCCCCTTTTTCTTAATAGAGAAAGTGAAGACAGAAGGCAAACAAACCTATTGGGCACAGTCTATACAAGTACACAAGCAGTTATGAGGGTTTGAATTAAGACAGTGACAGTGGATGAGGAAGGATTTTAGTGTGTGTGTTTATAGGTAGAATTGAAGGATAGATAGTATTGGATATGGCAGATGGATAGAAATCTGGTATGACTCCTTTTTGACTGGGCAGTAGGTATAACATCCAGAGTTACCCACTCTGAATGCTTGCTGTAGGATTCTTTTTTTTTTTTTTTTCCCTTTTTTTTTTTTTTTTTTTTTTCGTGTCCGGCAACGGATCGCAACCCTCAGTGTCGCGCCTGTACCGGACTGGGACCGGCAACGGGATCGCAATCCTTGGTGTTGCTCCCACACCTCGCTCAGCCAGTGAGCGGGAACCGGTCTGCATGTGGGATCCGAACCCTCGGCGGGAGCGCCACCGCGCTCCCAAGCGGCGCACTGTACCAGTGCGCCACCGGGCCGGCCCCGTTGCTGTAGGATTCTTGTAGGTGATTTTGGAATCCTATGTGGAAGAACAGAATTGGTCAGAGCGGGGAGGGTGGCTTCTAATTTTATATTAAAGTTGACCCCAGTTGGAATTATTTAATATAATTTTTAAGTATTTAATTTGAGAGATTAATGAAAATTCTTTTTTTTTTTTTTTTAAAGATGATCGGTAAGGGGATCTTAACCTTTGACTTGGTGTTGTCAGCACCACACACTCCCAAGTGAGCCATGGGCTTGCCCGAAAATTCATTTTTATAACCAAAAAGTTTCATCATTATAATTAGTAAAACTTGTGGCTTTTGAGTAGTTAATACCCTGTTGTTTTAATCATATAGAATGATGACTCCAGATGAACTTAACATAAATACTAGAGTACATCAAAAAGTTCATGGAAAGATTTGTATTACCTTTTATTTAATTCTGTTTATTCACAATGTTTTTGTTTTGTGGCTGGCTGGTAAGGGGGTCCACCCCTTGACCTTGATGTTATAACACTATGCTCTAACCAGCTGATTTAACTGGCCAGTCCTCATCCACGAACTTTTTAAAGTCACCTTGTACAGAAAAGAATCTAGGGTTTTTTTTTTTGTTTTTTTTTTTTTTAAAGATGACCGGTAAGGGGATCTTAACCCTTGACTTGGTGTTGTCAGCACCACACTCAGCCAGTGAGCTAACCGGCCATCCCTATATGGGATCTGAACCCATGGCCTTGGTGTTATCAGCACCACACTCTCCCGAGTGAGCCACGGGCCGGCCCCAAGTCTGGAGTTTTAAATGCTCTATCTGAAGGATTCAGAATCAAAAGCTTTTAAAAATACAATTACCAGTGTTGCTAAATAAAAAAAGACACATACCCCAAACCACCAGTTTCCTATCTGTTTTATATAAAGAAAATCCTACAATAAGCATTCAAATGCTTTGACATGTTAAACTCTAAAATATATTTGGGGATTAGATGGGTTATTAAGTTGAATGAATCAGCCATAGTTTGTACCCTTAAATGAAAGTGCATAAACATAGTGTCATGTGATTTTTTTAATAGAGATGAAGGGCAAACTTTGTATAGTAGATAGAGTTAAATGAAGATGCTTAGAAATGTTTTGTGGTTTTTTTGTATTTTGTTTTTTGGCAGCTGGCTGGTACAGGGATCCCAACCTTTATAGATATTTCTAACACCTTTATCTCAAAGATAACTTGATTGATTGATTGGCAGCTGGCAAGGTACAGGGATTGAACCCAGGACCTTGGTGTTATTAGCACTATGCTCTGGCCAATTGAGCTAACGCCATGCTCTAGCCAATTGAGCTAACAAGCCAGGGTACTTTTTTTTTTTTTTAATCTCAAATATTTACAGAAAATAGCTCTGTAAATTTACTATACCTGACACCCCAAAATCTTAATCTTCAACTTGATCTTGAAAATGTGTTTTATAAGGGCCGGCCTGTGGCTCACTCGGGAGAATGCGGTGCTGATAACACCAAGGCCACGGGTTCGGATCCTATATAGGGATGGCTGGTTTGCTCACTGGCTGAGCGTGGTGCTGACAACACCAAGTCAAGGGTTGAGATCCCCTTACCAGTCATCTTTTTTAAAAAAAAAAGTGTTTTATAAATGTACATTTTAAAGTGTGTTTTCTAATAAACTGGATTTTCTTTAAAATTGCCTTTGTAAATTAGGAAGTAAAACAGAAGAAGGAATAGTTATGTCCTAATAAAATAGAGAAGAAAATTTAATTTTTCTTCTGTTCCTTACTCTTAGATGGGAATGATGAGCAACCCCAATCCTTATGGTTCGCCATATACTCAGAATTCTGGACAGCAGATTGGAGCCAGTGGCCTTGGTCTCCAGATTCAGACAAAGACTGTACTACCAAATAGCTTATCTCCATTTTCAATGGACAAAAAGGCAGTTCCTGGTGGGGGAATGCCCAACATGGTGAGTACTAATTGCTTCAAACTGGCATTTTAACAAAAGAACTGTGTGAAACTTTCATACCTTTTACTATACACACTAGGATGTGTTCGCACTAAGAGCCTAAATAGATGTGTAATGGATGACCCCTGTGAACAAGGAGGCTTGTGCCTTCTTTCCATTTCGCATGGTTATTTTATTCCTTGTGATTATAACAGGAGCAGGTAGGCTGCTGCAATGATGTTTTAGGGGCCTGCCATTCTGCAGCTTTGGTCTTTGAGCATTTCTGTAGGATAGGAAAGTGAAACCTTTCTCCTCTTGGGAGAAGGACTCTGTCTGGCAAAAGGTCCCAACTGTCAAGGACCACGTGTACTGATTTTATTTGATACTGCTACACAAAAGTAACTTCCTTCTCAAAACTTAGATTTTGTTTTAAACATTAATTTTTATTATAGAAAATTTTCAGAAGCATATAACATTGGTATTTTTCTAAAGTAAAACTAATTTCTAGTTATAAATGTGTTGAGTGGTCACATTTAACTGTGGAAAAAATTGTCCTGTTCTTTTATCAACACCACACTCTAACCAGCTGAGCTAACCAGCCAGCCCTTGTCCTGTTCTTTTAGATGTTTTTAACTTTGTGTCATATATTCAATGAATGCCTGCATTTCATTTCAGGTACTTTGCTAAGTACTAGAGATAAAAAGGTGAATAAAAGGGGCCAGCCCGTGGCTCACTCAGGAGAGTGTGGTGCTGATAACACCAAGGCCATGAATTCAGATCCCTATATAGGGATGGCCAGTTAGCTCACTTGTGAGAGCAGCATGTTGCTGACAACACCAAGTCATCTTAAAAAATAAATTTAAAAGGTGAATAAAACTTTGAGTCTCTGTCCTCAGAAATGTTTACTTTTTTATTGGAAAAACTATATTTCAGAATTTATAAAAACTAATTATTCACCCACCTGAAAGACCTTTACAGTGTCTATGAAGAAGCTCCTCATTGTTCTTTAAAATGTAACTTGGACATGCTCTTTGCGACAGATTCCCCCTTGTTTTCCTCTCCCACTGGAGTTTACTATGTCCTTCTCTTTGCTTTTGCTTTCTGTATATTATATATACTTTGACTATATTACTTGATAATGTTATAATTTGTTTTCTTAGTAAATTGAGCTTCTTGATGGTAAGAGCATTATTTATTTATATTTGAATCCCCTGTGTCAAAAAAAATGGAGTATGACATATAGTAGACCAGCCGTATTTTAATTGAAAATGTCCAGGTTCCTGTTTATTACAAGGTAGCACAGTATGACACCTGCCATTAAACATACGTTTATTGTTATACCCCCAGGGCCAACAACCAGCCCCACAGGTCCAGCAGCCAGGCCTGGTGACTCCGGTTGCCCAAGGGATGGGTTCTGGAGCACACACGGCTGACCCAGAGAAGCGCAAGCTCATCCAGCAGCAGCTAGTTCTCCTTTTGCATGCTCACAAGTGCCAGCGGCGGGAGCAGGCTAATGGGGAAGTAAGGCAATGCAACCTTCCCCACTGTCGCACAATGAAGAATGTCCTAAACCACATGACACACTGCCAGTCAGGCAAGTCCTGCCAAGGTGAGTGAGCCCACAGGGTTACTGTGCTTGGCAATTAATATTTACAACCAGGGACAAGAGAGAAAATGTGATTAAATCTACTTTGAGGGGATGAATATGTTTAGTATCTTGGTTATAGTAATGGTATTATGGGTATACACCTATGTCCAAACTTATCGAAATATATACATTAAATATGTGCAGTTTTTTATATATCATTTATACTTCAATAAACCTTTTAAAAAGTACCCCCATTGTCTGGATGTACCACAGTTTGTCCATTTACCTGGTGATGGACATCTGTCTGCATCTAGGTTTTGGCAATTATGAATACAGCTGTATAAACAAAATCTATTTCGAGACTACTGTAGTGTTTTACTCTATATTAGGAAGTGATAAAAATTCAGTATCATTTTTGTGAGCAAGTATCTATGGATATGGTAGAAGAGGAAGTTTTAAAGGTCTTCCCTTTTGTGATGATCCTCATTGACTTTGATTTGCCCCAGCGTAGCATACTTTAAAGTATACATGGGTCGCTTGTTAAGTGATCACTAAGTTAGCTATAATTAATGTAAAAATATAACCTGCTCTTGAAAAAAATGCTTTCTTCTCTTTAGTGGCACACTGTGCATCTTCTCGACAAATCATTTCACACTGGAAGAATTGTACGAGGCATGATTGTCCTGTGTGTCTCCCCCTCAAAAATGCTGGAGATAAGAGAAATCAACAGTGTAAGTGATGAAGTCGTTTGAAGACTTATATCAAAAATACTCTTAGAATCTCACAAGTGCAATTTGATAGGATTAAGAGTACTTGTTGATTACGTGATGTTCCTGTGAGTATCTGGTGCTGTCATACCGTGTTGAAGAAATGCTTTTTTTACCTTTTACTTTTTCTGCTTCCCATTAACCTCCTATTAGTGCATAGAACTGAACTGCTAAATAGCTAAAAATAAAATCCAGGAACTCTCAGTATTCATTCTTTATAAAAACAGCAATAGGTGAATTTAGGCTCCATTTTAAACACAAAAAATTAAAAATAATTGCTTTGGCATCTCTTACACCTGTGATCTAAATATTCAGATAATTTGAGATTATTTAAACAATTTTTTTGAAATTATTTTTATAATCTGGTGATGGAGAATAGCTTTTCTTACAGAAAAGACAAGTCATACATAAAAAGATTACATTTTAAAAGTTTGGCTACCACATTTCCTCTCTAGGAACAAAACATTAAGCATTTAGGGTTGAAAGACAACTTTGGAAGTACATTTGAGGCATGTGAAAATGGAATTAAATTCCATAAATTAATGAAGAAATAATAACTCAGAAGAAAATTGGGAATAGAAAATAGATAATTCACTATAGAGGGGGGTAAACCCAACAAAGTTTACTATTTAGAATGAAATAAGGTACTGTTTCTGTCCAGCTACATTAGCAGAAACGACGCTGCCCGGTGTTGACGATTGTATGGGTCTAGAGTGTTCGTAGCACTGTTGGTGGGAACATTGATACAGCTTGTGTGGCAAGGCTGTTTGGTATTCTGGTAAAAAAAGCAAAAGCCTTTCTTACTACTGATCCCCTTTGACCAATCAGTTCTGCATTTAGGAATTTTTCAAGGAAATAGTGGTAGGAAAGATACACTGAGATGCTTCATAATCAACAGTAATTTCATGTGCTTTTAAATTCACTCAAACATTAGTCTTTTTTTTCTCACTAACATAAATATTGACATACCATATCTTTTGTCTTCTCTAGCAATTTTGACTGGAGCACCCGTTGGACTTGGAAATCCTAGCTCTTTAGGGGTGGGTCAACAGTCTACTCCCAGCCTAAGCACTGTTAGTCAGATTGATCCCAGTTCTATAGAAAGAGCCTATGCAGCTCTTGGACTACCCTATCAAGTAAATCAGATGCCGACACAACCCCAGGTACAAGCAAAGAACCCGCAGAATCAGCAGTCTGGGCAGTCTCCCCAAGGCATGCGGCCCATGAGCAACATGAGTAAGTTTGTGTCCTTCTAGTAACAGGTGATATTAATTGCATGTGTAAATGATGTCTCTTTTTTTTTTTTTTTGTCCTTTTTGAGCCCAGCCGCACCACGCTCAGCCAGTGAGCACACCGGCCATCCCTATATGTGATCTGAACCCGCGGCGGGAGCGCTACCGCGCTCCCAGCGCTGCACTCTCCCAAGTGCGCCACGGGCTCGGCCCCTAAATGATGTTTCTTAATGCAGGGTTATCTCCTTAACTTGTTTTGTTTTTTTTTGTTTGTTTGTTTTTTTGCTACACGATAGATTTTTTTTTTTTTCCTTTTTGTCTTTTTTCGTGTCCGGCAACGGATCGCAACCCTTAGTGTCGTGCCCATACCGGACCAGACCGGCAACGGAATCGCAACCCTCGGTGTTGCCCCCGCACCTCGCTCAGCCAGTGAGCGGGAACCAGTCTGTATGTGGGATCCGAACCCTCGGCGGGAGCGGCCCTACGATAGATTTTTTTAAAGTAATTTTTAAAACTGTAGTGGAAAAGGCCCCTTATAACCCCTTTACCAGAGGTAATTGCCACTGGTTTATATCAATATTGATCGTGTTTTGCATGTGTGAGTTTAAATTTGAAGAAATAGGATTCGGGCCGGCCCGGTGGCGCACTGCTACAGTACGCCACTTGGGAGCGTGGTGGCGCTCCCGCCGAGGGTTCGGATCCCACATACAGACTGGTT